CATATATACCAAACATGGACACGAAGGCCAACAACCACCAATATATCAAGAGGAGCCATGTACTTTAGTTCTCTTTCCATGCACATGAAAGTATTGAAGTAGTACAACAACAATTACTACTAACCCTACAACTACTACTAACACTACTACTAACAACTACTTAACTACTAACAATGCTAATAGTAAGAACTACTTAACTATTAACAACTACTACTACTAACCACTACTACTTACTAACTACTACTATTTACTAACCCTACAACTAACACTACTAACTACTACAACTAACACTACAACTAAAACTACTAACTACTACTACTAACACTACAACTAACTACTACTAACACTACTAACTACTACTACTACTAACACTACAAGGGTAGGGCTTACCTTGGCGGCAAGAGCGAGGGTCGGCGACGACAATGGGGATGATAAAGAAGAACTTGAGGATCAACGGCGGTCGGAACAGGCGTGGGGATCGACGGGCGGTCAGGTTGGCACCTTCCTCTTCTTCCTCCTCCCCCTTCTCTTTCTTCCTCTTCTTCCTCCTCCCCTTCTCTTTTTTCCTCTTCCTCCTCCCACTTCTTTTTCTTCTTCTTCCTTCCTCCTCCTTCTTCCACCTACCTCCTCTCTCTCTGGCCGGCGGTGGCAGAGAGGAGCCCGCATGCTGCAGACCACGGGCACCGGCCTCGTCGAGGATGGCCGGTGAGGTGGGGGCCGCATGCCATCGTCGTGGCCAGTGAGGTGGGCGCCGGGGGCAGCAGAGAGAGAGTTGCCAGCGCCGGCCAGCGAGAGCCGAGGGGTCGTCGAGGCGGAGCATGGCCATGGGCCGCCAGATCCAAGAGAGCACCGGCCGACCACCAGTGGCGCCGCCCGGCGCGGGGCTGCTGCATCACATGCGGCATTGGTCACGCCAGTCTTAAGGCGCTGGGTCGCCGGGACTTAGGCGACGACGATGTCACATGTGGAGATGTCTGGGTTTAGGGGCGTGGACGCCGCAACTTGCTCGAAACTTTCTCAATTTTTACTGGGCCTCCACATGTGATAACAAGACACATCGACAAGTTTCGTGATTTTCGGACATCGTTTGGATTTTATATAATTTAAATAAACTTCCCCATGAGTACATCGTCATGTTACGACAACATGATGCGCGACATTTCATGCCACTTCTCGCGCATACGGCCTCGACATAGCCTAAATATCATGAATACTATTTTTTAATGACCAAATTCCATTATTTCATGTACTGCAGTTCAAATTTGGAATAGTCGGAAAAATTCAATGAATCGAAAAAAATTAAGGAAATATAGTTAAAAAAACTCATAATTGTCCCAAATTTTGAAATAGGGATATATTTATTGTAGCAAGTCCCCACAAAAAAATGGGGTCAAAAAAAAAAAAAAATTTGCCGGGTGCCACCAGGCACCCTAAGAAAAACTTTTTTGCGGGTGCCGGTCATGGGGCACCCAAAGAAAGAAATTAAAAAAATTCTTTCGGGTGCCTAACGTGGCGCACCGGCACCAAAAAAGGGACGGACCATTGGTCGCCGTCAAGCCGCCACCTTTTTGCTGGCGTGACCATATTTTGCCGAGTGGCGGCACCGAGCAAAGACCAATTTTTTGCCGACGGTGGAATTTGCCGAGTGTGCGGCACCCAAGCAAAGGTTGCTTTGTCGGAGGCCTTTCTTTTTGACGGGTGCCGCCAGCTCGGCACCCAACAAGAATTCCTTTGTCGGGTGCCCGATAAAAAGCACCCGGCAAATTTTTTTGCTCCCGCAAATCAGCCGTTTCCTGTTGTGGCGGTGGCACATCTCCTGAAGGGAGGCGGCCTAAGGGGGCGGGGGCTAGTCACCAACGCCGACGAGCTGCGGCTCATCTCCTACACAGGAGGCGGCGCAAGAGGGTGGGGGCTCGTCACCGGTGGCGACCGAGCGGTGGCGCATCTCCTACGCGGGAGCCGACGCATTCTTGATGTACTCTTCCATGAGTCCGGTGCCTGTCGGAGGAGGAACTGCTAAGCATGGCGAGCACCTCGGCAAGCACCTTCTTGTCCCCTAGCGCCTCCGTTCTTCCCGCCAGGCACGCCACCTAGCCCCATGATGCGTGAACCCACTGCCGTGGGGGCCCTACCTGGCGATTTGGTGGGTGGCAGGAGCATCAGAGGAGGAGCAAATGCGGGCTGCCAGAGTTGGAGCAGATGCGGAGATCACCGTCGGTGACTTCGGAGGGGTGAGCGCGAGTGAGATGGGAGGTGAGGAGAACAGCCACTAGTGCTAAGCCAAGCCTGGCTCTAAAAAACTACCATCCCCTGCGTTTTCCTGGAGCCTGGCTAGAGGGTGGTTGGTGGCTTCCTGGAGCCTGGCTTTGGACTCCAAACAGGCAACCAAACAGCCCGAAAGTGGCTTTCTAAAGCTTGGTTGGGGGTTAACCACCCAACCAAACTGACCCTATATGTTTGGCACCTATATACCTTCACATTTGTAGCAATGAAATTCAAACATATAGAAACGTGTTTGTATTGCAATGAAACCCGCACACATACATATACCCTCACATTCGTAGCAATGAAACTCACACGGTCACACACATATATCTAGCTAGCAGGACTTGGGATTGTGAGGGCTTCACCTAGCCTCCTACCCTCGCTAAGGAATAGCGCGGAGGAGGCCGAGGGTGGCCCACAGGAGAAGTAAAAGCGAGGGTTGAACATGGAGGGACAAAGGGGAATCATAATAAATTTAGGAGTAAATAATCATTAATTCATCATCTATTACTGTGCCACCCACCAGGTATTTATAGGGCACACCCAGGGACGTGGCAAAGTTACAAATTGAGATTGCCATCCAGGGCGCCACTCTACAGGAGTATAGGGACCCCGACCTCTCTGGGGACCATTGACTTCCGTCCAATGCCTGACAGCACAGAGCCGATCACGCGAGGGCTACCTCCTGTTCAAAAGGCCTTGCAAGCGACACCTGCAAAGACACAGGACCAAAGTTTCCTTTGTCTTGAGCATTAGCACGGTGCCCTTCTCCGAGGGTGCCGCTGAGCGTGGCGGCGAGGGTACCACCGAGGGTCGTCCTCGGGCCCCATCGGACAGAGCCACGCCGGCTGTTCCCTTGGATGGAAAGGAAAAGAGCAGTCAAGGGTTCAGTGTTCGGGCAAGGCTAGGACAGGGTGGCACATTGAGGGCCTCCCCCAACAGTAGCCCCTCGAGGGTTTGGGCTAGCTTGATGGGCCGAAGTAGTGTTAAACCAAAAGGAGGGCGAGCGGAGCTCGAGCCCGTGGCCCTTGGCACAAGCGACGCCCCGTCTGCCTTCGGCCAATGGCGCTAGGCCTGAGGCTTTTGGTTGTCACATCTTTGAGGAGTTGGTTAGGGTACTATTTGTGGGTGTTGGCGTGTGGAGACGTGGGTGAGGATGCGTTTCCTCATGGATCGGTGGGTCATTCCTTGGTTTCCATACCCGCGCCGCATTCTGTAGGCACGTGGTGAGGGCTGGGCACCCTGGGCCTATAAATATGAGGGGTTGGTGGGACTCATTTTTTACCCGGCTCAGTTGCTCTCATTTTGTTATCGCGGCTGCGCTTTTGCGAGGGTTTCTTGAGGTTTGTGGGTTGCGTGCTTTGCGAAGGCTGCGTGCCTGGCGAAGGTTGTGTTGTTTACCCTCACAGATTTATGTGAAAAAGGCGGCTACAGCTGCAGCCGAACAAGCCTGCTAGTGGATTTTGTTCATAAATAAAACTGAGTGGTCGAACAGGTCTAACTCTAGCTAAAATGGACAATCTATAGAAGATAGTGCAAATTAAAATTTTAAAAGAACTAGAAGATAAAAATATTTTAGTAAGTAAGATAATGTGCAAAATTTCAAGTCTAAAATAAAATAAAAACAACATAGATTCAAAAAGAAAAGATAAAAAACGTTAGGTGTGATCGACCACCTGGCACTCGGTGAAAATGTTCTAGTTTTGAAGGATGGTGAAAAATCATTGTAAACAAAATCCAGAACTTAAAAATAACACTACAAATCATGAATACTACATGAGTTTATGTTGTGACATCCATTATTCAAAATTTCACGTAAAAAATTGATCCACATATATGAGATTAAAAATAAAAAAAAATCTTGTGCAGCACCAATGGAACATCAAAATCATACAAAACATCTCAGTTCTTAAAATGTTGCACTTGAAATTGTGGAAGGACGTGCAGTATAACATTGGCCATGTTCGTTTGAACTTATCAGCTGTACCGTTTCAGTGATATAATAATATTTTTCTCTCACAACAAATCAGCATCAGCATCAAGCCATTTTTTTAGAAAGCCCAAAGGGCTAAAATTTACCAAGGCCTTGTTTAGTTCCCAACCAAATTCCTAAAAAGTGCTACAGTAGCCATCACATCGAATCTTGCGATACGTGCATGGAGCATTAAATGTAGACGAAAAAGAACTAATTACACAGTTTGGTGGAAAATTACGAGATGAACGTTACCCAAATTTCCAAAAATCGCAAACTAAACACAGCCCAACTCAGTTTTCAAAGAATTCTTTTGGGCTTTTGGGCCGCTTTGAACTTCACGAGGTCAACAACTTTCGCGGCTCAACCGCTCAAGACAACCTGACTCGAACTCGAACAGTCGCTCGCAGTCTACCACTTCGACCTCCACCGCGCAACTCTTCCGGCCGGGCCACCACCACCGCCTCCGCCCGAACAGCAAGAGGAGGAGCACGATTCACCCTGCCGCGGTCGTCGATTTCCGGTAAGCCGCCAGCATTCCTTCCCCCGAACTCGACGCTCCTCAGTCCCTACTCCCTCGGCTCCCCTCGCTCTCGCCGCGGGTCGCGCGCGCAAGGTGTTCGATGCATTGCCTGTTTGCCTGCGATGCAAGCGCGCGCCGCCTACGCTGCTCGTGTTTCGCTGCCGGTTTATGAACGCAATGTGTGTCCGCGCTGACGGCTGCTGTTTTTTTCCGATTGTATTTGCTGGATCGGATCGACCGATGGCGGATACCACGGGAACGTCATGGTCGGACATCCCGCTGGACCTCGCCGGCCGGATCCTCCGCCGCCTGCCTGCCCACGTCGACCGCGTCCGGTTCGCCGCCGTGTGCCCCCAGTGGCGCGCGGCCACGCGGCACGGGCCCCTGCCCCCACCTCTGCCTCTACTCCTGCTCTCGGACAGTAGGGTGTACAGCCTGCCCGGAAGCGAGCCGTTCCACTTCCATGGCTCCACGGGGTACAACGACGCTTGTGGCGACTGGTTGGTGTTTTCAAGTGAAGAGGGCCGTTTCCTGAGGGATCCTTTCTCCAATGCCACCGTGACACTTCCACCTCTGTCCCGTATCCGAACCCGGCTTGTGGGCACGGACGGTGGACCAGTTTGGAGTCAAGCCCCCTCTACTGCCCCCGCAACCATGAAGTGCCCTCCTTCTACTCGCTGTGGAAGAGATGGAGGAGGAGTTCTGAAGGATGAAGATGGCCTGAGCCCTGGACCCTCTTTGACTCTAGAAGAACGGCCCCTGCATGTGGATGTGGGTGATGAGTCTGTTGATGAGGCAACCCTAGCATGGATGGAAATGGCTGAAACGTTGAAGTTGGAGATGGAGCCAAAGAATTGCAAACTGTGGCTCTGTTCATCCAATCTCATTGTAGCAACAATCTATTTCACTGGAGGCCAACGGATTGCAGTGTGCCAGGCATACCTCGTGGTGGTCTGTATGGGCGAAAAATCTCTGTGTCAGCTTTGATGACATGGTATTCCATCAGGGCAAGCTATATGCCATTGACTTCATGGTTACACTTTTCGCCATCGATGTCAGCGTGGACCAGAGCAGCGGTGATCCATGGATTTCTCAAATATGAAATGTCATCGAATGTCCATGTTTGGACATAGGTTATTTCCTAAGAGGTGGTCACATGATGGCCTATCTAGTTGAATCACGTGGTGTGTTGCTGGTGGTGATGAGAAAGTTGTGCGACCCATTCGACGACCTGGATGGTCCCGATGCAGCTGGACATAATGAGTTCGAGGTGTTTGAAGCTGTCCTCAGTCAGTCACAGTGGCTTAAGGCGACCACAATTGGGAACAACGAGATTTTGTTTCTAAGTCGACGATGCAGCAGGTCTGTTTGTGTTCCTCATAACGCGTTGCCAGGGGACTGCATCTTCTTCCTGGAGAAGGGCTGGGATCGCAGTTTGTGTGCTGGCTCAAGTTCTTGCAGGGTCTATAGCATGAAGGACGGCAAGGTGTCCAACCCCCTGCCAACTGTGTCATGGGAGCCTGGCATGGTGTTTGGGACTTGGCTCTTCCCTCAGAGCTGAAGTGAAGCTGTTGCTGAGCTAGGTGCTAAATTTGTCGAACGAACTTATCTTATCCTCGTACTATGTCTAATGGTCTCTGATGATAACTGAAGCTAAGTGTATCAGTACTTGTCTGGTCTAAGTATGGTGTGACTATGTGCTGATTGTGCCATTATCAATCTATAAACATCTGATGGATCCTTTGGCATTGCTATCTGCTGCTGTGGACCTATTCTGTGAGCTTGGCACCGTAATGGTATCTCTAGTTGGGGAGGTAGCAAGCTTTTAAATTTGATCGATCTTAACCATCGTTATGTTGAATCTTCTGTGTGTGTTATGAGTTATGACATGAGAGATTTATAGTGCTGTTTTAGCCTTTTAGGGTCGAACACCCATGATCCATGTGGAGATCAATAAGGTTTACTTTTAGGGCTGGATATCGAGCCAGCTCGGCTCGGCTCGGTCCAGCTCGAGCTGGCTTGTTAGGCTAATGAGCCAGCTCGGCTCAGCTCGTTAATATTATGAGCTAGAGGCGCAGCTCAGCTCGGCTCGCTAGTGAGCTCGAGGTGGCTCGTTTAGCTCGCGAGCTATTAAAAAAAATAAGACACACATGTTTATAATGTTTATGCTACATTAATTTCAGAAGGTCACGTCCACTATTATGCATCCATACATGATTAATACACATCAGGTTCATTAAAAGTACCAACCATGCAACATAGTTGGTCCATCCATGATTCATGCAGTTCCAGCATACTTACTAGTTGCTTGTCACCACAGACTTAGAAAAGTCTACAAATTCAATATCAGCATCATTATCTTCTTCCTGGAAAATAATCCATAAATCAACATTTAAGTACCACGACAATTATAAAATCAAAATCCATATGAAACAGCTGAAAATAAGGATTACATGCCAATATAATAGGTTGACATTTCTATGTTAGCATCATCATCTTTTGGATTCATGGTCGTGGGCTGATAGGCTTCAGCTCGTGAGCAGCTCGCAGCTAGCTTGTTAAAACAGCGAGCTAGACTTTCAGCTCAGCTCGTGAAAAAGTTAAAACAAGCCGAGCCGAGCCGACCATGAGTCGAGCGACTTGACGAGCCACGATTATTTTGTCGAGCCCTATTTACTTTCAAGGTGGACGATAATTAACATGTGGTGTTGCGTCGCTAACGTGTTTGCTTGGCTTTGTAAAAATTGTGTAACTCGTGGGGTGTCCTCGAATTATCTCTTTTGCTATCTGTACATCCGTTATTTATTTTTTTAGCAACGTATGGCTCTATAAATCACGCGGCTTAAGAGACTTGCCTCTGTAAATTATTTCTAGTAGGTTCCTTTATTTGCCACATCTGTAAAACATGCACCAATTTACACAAACCTTATTCTCGAAAAAAAAATACACAAACCTTTTTGTCAGAGGCGGTTCTCTCTCTCTTTCTTATACAAATATAGGAGTACAATCATGCATATTAGCATGCTATACAAGAAGCTAGCATTGTTGGCTCGCAGAGTTGCCAGCAACGGCTGTTCGGAGGATCGGAGCAGCCCAAAATTAAGCACGCGTAAAGAGTAAAAACAAGAGGAAAGGTATGGACTGTGGAGGGCTCACTTACCTGTGTGTGATAGGGAAAATTCGATTTAGGAGGAAGGGACGCTTGATCAACAGGGGGAATATATATATATATAACTACAGCTGGCCATAGAATAACTTATTATGTGGTCACTTTGAGTTACGATAGTTACTATACTAATTTACGAGATTATAGTTACGATATATATATATTATATGCATGGCACCTAAAATTTTGGGCTGAGCTGCTAAAACGGGCTTGGATCAGTGGTGTCTCTGCATTTTGCCAGTTCTTGTCTTACATGTGGTGGACAAGGATTTCACTTTGCAGTTTCTATTTCTATGCGGTAAGACGTGTGCTAATAATGTATTAGTACAACTAATCTAGAATAAGTATACGTGGGGAATGGAAGGTGCAATAGTGCAAGGTGGATGACGGATCGCCTCCTCCGGTGACCACGTCGACGCGTGCATCTCTTTGGCAAGCTGCCACGTGTCCCCGCGCTCCACACACAGCTACGCGTGTATCCACACGTGCTAGCGAACGTGTCAACACGTCGCGGCTTTGTATGTCGCAGGCTCCCCGCTCTCAGACGCGTGTCCACATCCACAAAACCTATAAAGCGGCGGCAAAAAATCCGAACGTTCTCTCTCGGCTACACCCACACGGCACATCATTCTTCCCTGCGATTACTAGTCAAACGATCACGACACTAGCTACGACACTTGCCGCGAGCGCGCGCGAGAGAGATCTCAAGCGCAAGCAGCCATGCAGGCCGGGAAGACAGCAATGGAGGCGACCAAGGAGGCCGCGGCCAACCTCGGGGCCTCGGCGAACGCCGGCATGCAGAAGACCCGCGCCGCCGTGCAAGGCCAGGTGGAGAAGGCCACGGCGCACAACGCGTCGGACAGGGCCGCGGCGGAGGCGAACCAGCGGGAGCGCGTGCGCGCCGCGGAGCTGGAGAAGCAGGACGCCATGCGCGCCAACGCGGCCTCCAAGGAGCGCGCCACCGGCGTGGCCACGTACCAGCACCCGTCGCAGGGCGCGACCGGGATCGTCGACGCCTCCCGGCAGGGTTACGGCGGCGGAGCTGCCCCCGCGGGCGGACACGTGGAGGCCGGCGTTGGGGAGACCCGCCCCATCGCTAGGGCCACCGGCACGGCGCGGCCCAGCGCCGCTCACAACCCGCACGTCGGGAGCGACTTCCCGCAGCCGCGTGGCACCGGCGGGCAGTACCAGTGAGCTGCTGCGACGCGTAACAGTATGATGTATATCAGAAGAAGCTTTGTACACGAATGGACGCTGTGTGATAGTGTATGCCAAATAATGTATCTCTGGTATTAGAGAGTATTTTCTAATACGTACATGTACTCTCTACGTTCCATATACCTCTAATATTTTTATTTATATATGTAATAATAAAAAAATTATGTCTTTTTGAGCGTAGCTCATATCTGTCCACCTGGGTTTAAATCTCTGACTTACGCTCAGCTAGTTAGGTTTCTAGTGGTCACTATGCCAGATTCTCACACTAGAAATGAGGACATTGTTACCATAGGGGCAGCTGTGGTTGGAGGCGTCCCTATAGTGGGTGTCCTTGGGCCCCATCAGCCCAGCTGCCCCTACAGTTGGGGCTGATCTGTAGGGGTGGCTCAATCACCAGCCGCCCTTGCAGTGCCCATTTGTCTTTTTTCAAATTTTAAAATTTGAAAGGTTCAAATTTAGTCAAATGATAAGATAACTAAAATAAAAGTTGTAGATCTTGATGAGTTGAACAACTTTTGTATTCATCACTTCTACATCTGAAATCATTTAGGGTTTGAAAATTTGGTTTGAACTTGTTAAATTTTAAATTTTAAAATGTGTAAAATATTGTCACATTCACGTTTGATGAAACTTAAATGCTGAAGCATGATTTTAGAAATTTTTAGGAAAAAAAATCATCACATTTAGAGTTAGTATGAGGAAGAACAACCAGTTACAAAGTTTACCGATAGATTAAAAAAAATCACACTGTTCTAGATGTTACATGATCATAAACAGTGTGATTTCTTTTTTTTAATCGGTGGGTGAACACTGTTCGGAAGAAGACAGCGCCTCCCTCCTCCCAGATGCAGATGGCGGCGTCTCCCTCCTCCCAGATGCAGCCGGCGTCGCCTCCCTCCACCTAGATCCAGCCGGCACCTAGATCCAGCCGGCGCACCTCCCTCCTCTAGTCGGCGTTGACTCCCTCCTCCAGATCTACGACAACCACCGCCACGGAGCAGCAGCGACACCAGCAAGCGGACAACGCCACCAAGGTCACAGCTCCTCCATGTCGCTCCTCATTCTCATGGTCATGGGTAACCCTAGCCCCATCACTTTGCCCCCGTCTTCTGTAGTCCTGCATCCTGCCATGCCTGCGATGCCCCTAACCCTAGCCACGCCCTCGTTTTGCAGGGACGAGATCCAGGGAATCATTCAAGAGCGCTCTCACATGCATCTAGCTACTACTTTTGTTAGGTTTGTTTTTTCTACCTTTTGATCTGTGATGTCCAAGTTATTGGATCTGGATGCATCTTTGTAGTATGTAAGGAAATGTATCTACATGATATAGGTGTTCGATCTGATATTCGATTATGTACTTGCGTTTGAATCTCAGTTTGTGCATGGAGAGATTTTTAATGATCATAAATGTAGGTTGCCTTCTAAATAGCAGCTATTATCCTGTTACCATGGCACCACCGTCTCAGGTTCATTCCATGCTTTGGTCTGCTGCTTATCCTGTTAATTCTGCTCGGCATATTTGGGGGTACTTCCTTTGCATATAGTACATAGCAGTTCCACAGTCCAATTATGGAAAAGATTTTTGAGGAAAAGGATGAATAGTTACTGCTTTTGATAGGAAAAAAAATACATTAATCTAGAACTAGTACAAGCCCAGCCAGTTATTACTCACGAGCATAGTTATTTGGCAATGCAGAGACAATCCAGAACAATCCAACTAGGCTATCCAATCTGTGAAACAATCGAAAAAAGGCTAGCTGCTTCTCTAGTTTGAATAAATTCTTGGACAAATGAAATGCAGGCCTTGTTTAGATTGCAAAATTTTGTAATCTGGACACTGTAGCACGTTTTGTTTGTATTTGACAAACTTTGTTCGATCATGGACTAACTAGGCTCAAAAGATTCGTCTCGTGATTTACAACTAAACTGTGTAATTAGTTATTTTTTTTACCTACATTTAATGCTCCATGCATGTGTCCAAAAATTGATGTGATGGAGAGAGAGTGAAAAAACTTGGAATTTTGAGGGTATCTAAACAAGGCCGCAGTACTATCAGAAAGTGAGTGCAGTACTATCCAACCAGGGACAGCTAGCAACTAGCATTTTCTCCATTGTCGTACTTGCTGTTTGTCTTTTATGTATTATCATTTGCTCCCAAGCTAGTTTGTTTATTTGCT